AACAGAAAAGATATTTATTAAAAAACTTAATATAAAATTGTTTGAGCGCTTGAAAGAAATTTAATTCAAACTTGTTGTGGTTGTGTCTAAGGGGCAGAGATGCTTGTTAGATACTATTTGTTAGCTTTCGGGAAGGCTCGGGCTCAAATGCTGTTAAACGCAAAATATAAATTTTGATTTTTCCTAATTACGAAAAAGTATAAAAACAAAATCGATAGCAAAATCTATAACAATATCGATAGCAAAATCGATAACAAAATCGATAAAAATCGATTAAAAAATCGATAATAATATCGATAGCAAAATCGATAACAAAATCGAAAAAGTATCGATCATTATATCGATAAGTTCCGATATCGGTAACAATATCGGTAAAAATTTTGATACCAAATCGATAAAAATATCGATAACAAAAGCGATAATAGTATCGATAACAAAATCGTTAACAAAATCAATAAAAATATCGATAACAAAACCGATAAAAAATATCGATGACAAAATCGATAAAAATATCGATAACAAAATCGATAAAAATATCGATACCAAAATCAATAAATAATCGATATTAAATCGATAACAAAAAACGATTATAAAATCGAAAAAAAAATATCGATAAGAAAATCGATAAAAATATCGATCAATATATCGATTAGTTCCGAAAATAACGATAGCAAAATCAGTAACAATATCGATAAAAATTTCTATAACAAAATCGATAAAAATATAGTTAACAAAACCGACAAAATACCGATTATTATATCGATAAGTCCCGAGAACCCCGAAGATCTCCGAAATCCCGAAATAACTCCCAGATTCAGTCTCTGTGCCTCTATCAATATCCTTTTCTCTATTTTTTATGAGGTGTCAAGTAAAGTGTTTTGTGATATAATATAACTTTTCATTTTGTGAATTTGGAGCAGGGTCTAATAAAACAATTGCATGTACTATTACAAAAAAAAAAACACACAAGACGTAAAGTTTTACCTTGGGTTTATTAATGCAATAAATACATATAAATACTTA